TCATTTCTAAATCCAAGATGGCGGGCACGATTTTTTCAAAAAAATGCTATGTGGGTATCATTTTCGAGGTATTTGGGGATGCTCAATGTGAATATGGCACTATTTGTAAATCCAAGATGGCGGGCACGATTTTTCAAATAATGGCAAGTTGGGTATCGTTTTCGAGGTATTTGGGGGTGCTCATTACGAATATTGCTTTTGTTTGAACTGTCCTGTTTGCCATCTTGGATTTAGAAATGAGTGCCATATTTGTATTGAACATTCCCAAACATCTCGAAAACGATACCCAACTTGCCATTATTCGAAAAATCGCGCCCGCATCTTGGATTTAGAAATAAGTGCCATATTCGAAACCTAAAACCGAAAATGCCATAAGCAAACATTAAAGAAAATAACTGTTAAAATAGATTAAAAAATCGCTTAAGAATGCTCCCCTTTTAAGAAAATAAAATATTTTAATATAAAATATTTCGCTTGAGTTACGAAAAGAAAGACATATAATAAGCTATCAAAGTTGTACTGGTGGTGCCAACACTATAGTAGAAACAAATATATAAGTACTGTAAATTTGTTGCAATATGTGCTCCAATTCAAATAAAATTAAAATAAATAATTATTCAACAAAGCATGAACGCAGAGCCGTTAAAAGTATTATAAAATAATTAAGTGTCCCAATCACTTACAGGAGTTAACGAAAACATTTAATGTTTATTAAAGTAAATATTAGTTCAAGATGCGCAAATAAATCTAAATTACAGGCACCACTAAAATTTACGTAATATAATTATTTTGATACAGAATAGCAAAATGGGGAGAAAAAAAATTCGTTACTTTGCAACACTTTCGTATCTTGTTGCCGCGAAATTATTTTTCTGTTTTAGTGAATATTTACATAAAAATATGAGTTAAAACGCATTACTTACTTGTGGAATGCGATGTTAGTGTCTATTTTATGTTTGTCTGTTGTATTTTTACACCCATTTACCGCACATTTCGTCATTTTTAGCAAAAAATTTTGGAGCTGTTCGCGGTGCAATATGACCTTGAGCACTAACAGCCCGCGCGCTCCTGGGACGCGTTTGGAACCCTCTAACTTGCCTCACTTAGCGTGTGCGGGCTAGGTTTCTATGCGTTATTATTCTAAGTATTCAACCTTATCCCTTCCTCTCCTTTCCATCAGCGGACCACCCGTGCCGGACTGCGTTGCCACAGATGGACGGTCAGTTCAATACCGTCCCGCACTAAAAAGTTTGGCAATTCGTTTTTATGCCGAACCATCAAATTGTGGAACCAACTCCCGGCGCATGTATTCCCTCCCCTCTATAACATCGGGTCCTTCAAACGTAGTGTGAAGAAGCATTTGGCCAGACCGGCAAAATGATAGTGACGGAGTGAAGATATTTGTGTTTTCCATCCGTTACTCTCATCTCTGGACTGTATTCGCACTTTCCATCAGGCGCGGTGCAGTCATTTTGCCGAGTCACAATAAAAAAAAAAATAAAAAAAAATACGACTCCTTTAAGAGTCAATACAGCTGCAAATCCAATTCATACCGCATAACAGTGAAAGTGTTGAATCTATGACTTTAGAAAAAATATATAGTAAAATTGAGGATATATACTGATTATTGTACGGTGTGAAGACACGATTCCTAAACATTTTCACCATAGAAAAAAAACACAAATTTACTTCGAAATTTTACAAGAAAACCTTTGCATTCAATAGATACTTTACATACACCAATGATTTTTTTTTTAAATCAACTGAACTAAATGGAAGACTATATATGATATACATTTTTCAAATCTCAAGCAAATTGAACCGTATTAGTACGGGAAATAATTGAATTAATCGACTATTATGCAATGTACAAATCAACGGTGTTAGTGACATCGTGTTACCTAAAGTAATAAGCGCGCTCCTGGTCTCGTTGAAGGCTTTCAAGTCGTCCACACCATCGATGGTGGGGCTGCCACCTTGGTTCAAATACTGGAACATGTCTTGGTGATCTGTAAAAGAGTATACATGTCATATTAAGTTCTTATTGTGATTGCTACCCATTGTCATTCACATTCAAACAAAGTTCGTCAGTTTCAGTCAACCGTGATCACGGGATCTATAAATTTATACACAAATAAATACAAAATTATTCACTATTCAAACGACATGAACCTTTATATAACACGAGGTTTCCGGACAGACTTACTGTACCGGTCAACATAAAAAGAGAAGTGTATCGTCGTAACTGTTTACCTATGTGTGTCAAAATATATAATTCGCTACCGATTGATTTAAAAATACGCCAAATACAATGTTCCGAAATAGGTTTATCCAAATGGTTGTCTAACTGTTGTTTTTACTCAATTAAAGAATTTTTTGACTACAAAAATAATTAGGTATTTGTTTAAATTTGACATTATTGAGACTTATTATTTTAAATGTATAAGATATTTTAATAATTATGATAGATATACTCATTTTTAGGTAAATTTGCATGCTATTACTAGCTAAGTGTGAGAACCTGTTAATAGAAATATTTTATATTAAGCCAACTATGTACACCACACTTAATGCGAATAAATTATTATTATTATTATTAAATTTACCCAATTTTTTTTTTTATTATACCATGTGACGGGACGAATTAGTCGTGCGCCTGGTGTCAAGCGACACGCACAAAGTTGCAGTGCCACTCAGAGATTTAGAGTGGATACACACGGTGACTTTTGACAGTGGTGCAAACGCACGTTCGTGAAACGCTCTATTGCATTGCTACACGTGATTTATAGGCGATTGCATTGATGCAAGCCCCTATAAATCCCAAGTGTAGCGATGCAATCACGCGCATGTATAGGGCGTATTCGACGGCGCGTGTTTTCCATACAAACAGAGGTATTTCCATTGACTTACAAATAAATGGACGACGGGTCTAATACAAAAACCACGAAAAAAATGTCCCAAGTCAACCTATTCGAAATTTAAATTGTTATGTCATCGCAGTATCGCGCTGTCCATAAAAGAAATGAAGACTAAAGCGGAGTGTCGCGCTCTGTATACGATTTTAGCGCCTTACAAGTGCGGACACTTTTTAGCGCGGACCCGACGTCCATATAATTGTAAGTCAATGGGTATTTCAGTAGAACGTTAAAATACGCAGCCCCGCGCTCCGTCGCGGCGCAGTACAGTGTGATAATCGCCTAAAGGTAAACGATTAACGGCTGCTTCCCGTTTGTAACGCTGCTAAGACTCGCCGTGTGTAACCGCTCTTAAATCGCAAAGATCTTAGGGGCACTGCCACTGCGCACATCACCCTGAGACATAAGTTGACAAGTCCCATGTGCCTGTAATTTCACCAGCACCCTTACCCTTCCAAACCGGAACGCAATAATAATCACATTTCTGCTTGGCGGTAGAAATAGGTAATGTGGCAGTACTTCCCTGGACTAGGAGCTCTACTGCTACTTCTATATTATATATAAAAGTAGCAGTAGAGTATTATATAAACTCACACCCGCGACACAGGGTTTCCCTAGTGCGGGGCTATGTTGAGTGTGTGCGTTATTATATATGCTGTTGACGGTATATTGAGTGTCTAGCGTTTTTGGCATTGTAAATAGTTTGGTACCTACATAGTTAGGGTCTAAGAACTTACCAAGTTTTAAATCGGGCATGTGCGCGGCAGCGGAACACAATTGATAGAAAATATGATAGTTCCTTTCCCCCGCACTCTGGTAAACCACCCTGGACTTTTCCAGGAGGTACGTCCTCATACTAGCTCCTGATATTCTGTATTGATTATCGAAGTGGATCTCAATGAATTTTCCGAACCGGGAAGAGTTGTCGTTGCGGGTTGTTTTTGCGTTGCCTATTGCCTGCAAAAAAGAAATTTAGAATAAGGATCAGAAACGTCATACATTTTTGCACTCTAAATAACAAAATAAGGCATTTTTCCACGACATTCGACGTTTTGGGCGAGATAATTGACACGATCATAACGTACAAAGCGAAAATGGCGGACAGAGCTCAAGTATGTGGAACTCCGCGTACTGTTGGCACGCGTACCACACTCACTAAGCACTTCCATTATAATTAAGTTGTTATTGAATGTCAGGATGTTTGACCACCATGGTATTCAATTATTTCTTTGTGAAATTACTCCACTAGTTCGTTATAATTATTAATACAAAGAAGAAAAAATTCACTTCTATCCGGCTAGATTCGAACCAACGTCTCCTAGCAAACCGTGCCAGACGCTATGCCAACTAACCTTTACTATATTTATATTTATAAAAACAATTTAGCACTCCCCTTCCCAAATTGGGTATACCGGGAATCGAATGTCGGGGGAAATTCAAATTACAATGCAGAAGGAAACTAGGATATTGCTACATAAAGTGATCTTACCTCCATTATAGGGCTGGAAGCCAGCACTTTCCGTTCAACTTGCGTCTCTGATGCGTTGCCTCCAACAGCTGCAAAATATCGCATTGCATATTTCGCTGAAACGGTCTTCCCCGCTCCAGATTCTCCGCTCACTGAAAAAAAAGATCGTAAAAGGAATTGTCTTTGACTGTAGTATAAAGGTTTAGGCTTAGAATAATAACGCATAGAAACCTAGTCCGCACACGCTAAGTGAGGCAAATTGAAGCGCTCCCAATGGGCCTACACGAGCGGGCGGGCCGTCAGTGCTCAAGGTCAACTTGCACCACGAACAGATCAAGAATTTTAGATAAAAATGACGAAATGTGCGGTAAATGAGTGTAAAAATACGTCAGATAAACATAAAATAGATACTAACATCACATTCCACAAGGAAGTAACGCGTTTCAACTTGTATTTTTATATAAATATTCACTAAAACCGAAAATTAACCTACTACTGAAACTAGCTTACATGAATTTGATTTTTGCCTCACTTGTGACAGTTCGTTTGATATGAAACTATCATTCTATGCGTTATTATTCTAAGGGTTTAGGTAATTAACTAAAAGTGAACAAACTTCAGCTGTTACTTGGTTAGAAATACAATATTTAGTAGCGAGATCTTGTTCCATTGCAGCAGTGGAGGCGATATTCGAACAGAAATGTATTGCTTGATATGATGTAGACTGTACGATATAAATTGCATCGTTGGGCGCCATCTATATCAACGCGTTCGAACTAGTCTGACAGCTGTGATACTAGCGGAGCATCGTGTTCGTGTCGGTGGTGCCGCCATGTTAGACGGGCTGTTCTTTTTAATGTAAACAGACGTAGCATAGCACCACATACACGACAAATCGTTAAAATTCCGTATAATCGTCAGACTTCTGTGTTTATTTAAGATTAGCAAAGAAAGAAAATGTAAACAAATTTGGTTCATATCGAGTTCTTAAGTTTTCGCGATTACACATAGGAAATAAAACTATTTTTCCGGATTTATTTTTATATTATTTTTCCGATTTGTTTTTTCAAACAAACCGACGTTTCGGGCCCTTTACAGGTCCCATGGTCACGGTTGACTTGGGACCTTGGGACCTGTTAAGCCATTTACATCCGGAAAAACTTTCGAAATTTGAATATTGTTCTTCGCGCATATAACCCGTAATAAATATAGCTGATCCCGACGAAGGTCCCAAACCGTCTTTAATTATATTTAACAACATCACTTACGTGGCTTTGATCCCAAAGTGACTAAAGCACTTGTGTTATGGAAATCGGAAACATCATGGTACCACTAACACGCAGACCCGAGACAATATAGAACAGTTTTTGTACATTTTCTTTTTTTACGCACACACTCATAGCCCCGTACTAGGAAGACCCTGTATCGCGGGTGCCATGGAAACACACATAGACAACCACAAATAACACCAAAATACATGTAGGCCTTACAAATATTTCTCCCGGCCCGGGAATTGAACCTGGGACCTCTCCGTGGCAGAGTAGCATGGTAACCCTTCGGCCACGGAGGCAGTCAAAATTTGACCCGTTGCCCCGGCCGGGGATCGAACCCGGGACCTCAAAAATGGCAACACTATGAAAACCGGTATGCAAGCTACTCGACCATGGATGTCTTTAAAATCGTTGTCGTATATACCAACCAATCCAAAAAGTACTACATAATGAACCTTACCAATAATACTTTGGTCTCGTTTCTCCCTCTCCAATTTGGTGTAGGCCTCTTCAGACACAGCAAATATGTGAGGATCTAGGTCTCCCATCGCCTGTCCTCGGTATGCCATGATTGTTTCATCGCCTGAAATATGGACAATGTAATTGAGTAAGATGTTAAAACACATCCAATACAAAACTTACTAACTGTATCCGTTAGGTGACAATGGAACCGAATGTCAAATTCACACCGGACAGTTGCTTCAACTGTACCAAGGGCTAGAGATGGGTATCGACCCACAAAACATCGATTATTGGCATTTTTTTTTTTGATAAACCAATCGATGTACCGATTAATCGTTTTTAATTAAATAAAAACAACGAACCCAAAGTAAGTACGTCTTTATTTTCTTTGAGATCAAGAAAAGAAGAAGAAAAAAACATCAGTATTAAATACAAATTATTCAAAGGAGGTGGAAACAAATTTTATAATTAGCTTATGTAAACCATCTTTCTGGAGCTACGGTGTTACACGTAAGTTTAATTATTCGAAAATCGGCTAAATAAAATGATCATTTGGATTTAAAAGCGGTTGTTTTTTTTCTAATATTAACATATTTATAAAATATTTTTATGAAATATACTTTTATTTTTTTAGCACAAATAATCGATTAACCGATTAATCGAATGACATCGATTATCCCGATTAATCGACACCCAACCCTACCAAGGACAATTCCGTTCTGGAGACAGCTGCCACCTATGGGCTGGTTCTGTTAAATACCAACTGGCCCCATTGGATTCACTAGAAATGTGCCAAAAGGCTTATAGGTGACTCAGATTTAGTAGAGAGGCAAAACTACAGAGCCTTGAACACCGCCGTAAAGTTGCCTGCTTAGGCTTCACGCATTAACTGCAGTAGTTAATGCGTAAAGTTGATTATATCAGCATTATACAGGATTTTTTTGGTGGTAAGCGACACGCTGTTCCATAATAGTTGCTGACTTCCATTCAGAGTTTTTAATCGCAAAGATCTTACGGACATTGCTACTGCACCCGTCACCTTGACACATAAGTTGACAAGTTCCATGCGCCATGTGCAATTTCACCAGCACCCTTACCCTTCGAAACCGGAACGCAGTAATGCTCTCATTACTGCTGGGCAGCTCAAATAGGTAAGGTTAGGTTTTGGACGAACCCTTTCACAAGGATCTCTACTCCTGCTGAGAATATATAGGCTGGAGTTCCCACACGTAGGTTATGGATATTCCAAAGTTTTGCGGAAAGTGTTTGGCTTCCACGTTTATATTGCGAACGGCAAAGGAGTGGAATTGCCTTCCTGCAGAATTGTTCCCCGAACTCTATAACTTGGGCCTTTTCAAGGCGAGAGTAAGCGTCGCTTTCTATCATGTGAGATGGAGGTCAAACGAACACTTTACGTAAATAAGAAAAAGTGTGCAACGCGTAAATTAAGCTTTTAAATTACTTACCGTAAATTGGCAAATCGTAGTATGGATTGATGGCGACCAAAACAATTCCACAGTACGTATAGATGGCATTGCGATCGCAGAACCTAAAAAAAACAAATATTTGTTTCAAATAAACCAACGTTTCGAACAGTGTTTGAAAAAACAAATATACGCGATGCGTAAAACTAGTTTCATTTCCAAGGCAAGGGATCACTACTGAGGTACCCAAATAGAATCTTCGTAATCGGGATGAAAATGTCGTGCGCCTGATGGTAAGCTACACGCCTGTCTATAACAGTTGCAGTACCTCTTAGAGCTTTAAATCGCAAAGATCTGAGGGGCACTGCCACTGCGCCCGTCACCCTTAATAGTACATATAATGGATGTGGTTGTCTGTCTTTTTTTTCTCTTATGGTAATTGTTGAAACGTGAAATCAAAATAGTATTCAAATAAAAATTATATTTGAAAATGGAGGCGGTTCTCTACTGGACTGTATTACTTTGTGTATATGTAACGCAATTACAATTAGGGTACCTACTGGTGAAATTACAGGCAGGCATATGGGACTTGTCAACTTATGTCTCAGCATGACGGGCGCAGTGGCAGTGCCCCGAAAGTATTTATATATTAATCGTATACAATTATTCTAGTGTATATATAAAATTAATAATTAGATTAAACTAACCTAACAGGGTGCATGTTTATATGAGATACCAGTCTCTGTACTCATGGTGCAGTAAATAAATCAGACGATTTAAGCTCTGAGCGGCACTGCAACTGTCATCGACAGGTGTGTCGCTTACCACCAGGGGCACGACTTATTCGTCCCGTCACTGGGTTCATAAAAAAAATCAAAACAACAGATTATTTTCCCAATTTTGCCCTAGCCGGGATCTATTCATCTAGCGCCCATAATTCAAACCGTTAAACTATCGAGGTAGTAATAAAAAAACGTAAAAATTATCACGTCAACTGCAAAACACCTATCTCCATTTTGTTTATCTTGTTTCGTAACAAAAATTAAACCGATTGATTTATATACCTAAAATTCAGCATTACGAATAATAGATATAACCAAAACCATTCATTACCAAGATAGAAAGGTATTATGAAATAATTTTAAATAATTACATTTTTTTTATTATATCAAGTGACGGGACGAAAACGTCATGCTAATGGTAAGTTACACGCTTTGCCACTCACGGGCTTTTAAACGCAAAGAGCTGAGGGCCACTGTCACCGAAACACAACTTCAAAAATCCCATGTGCCTGTAATTTCATCAACATCCTCACTCAGAATATCTAGGTATTGTATAGAATACCCGATTACGTATATTGCCGATAACATATACGTCTTACCTTACTCTGAGATTATGTAACACAGCAGGTTCGTGAAGATACGACAGTGACGTCAGGTCGTTTTGACCAATCAGAAGCGAGGGATTGCGCAATGGCGGCATATGCTTTTCGTCTGTAATCTGAAAAATACCAGGTGTTAGAATAATTTGTTTTGTAAAGTGCTACTCATTTGGGAGATTCTTATTGCTTCAAATGTACAGTCATACGAATGACAGGAATAGTAATTACCAATGGTCGAAAAGAGGTATTCCACATATATAGATACATGTACAGATATAGCTATAAGGAGCAACATGGAGTTGTTAATTCCGGATTTCCGGAAATGGTTTTACTGCATCGTAAGAGAACACTGACCTAGGAAGTCGAAGTTAGATTTTAAAGTAATCTATGGTGCCATGTAAAAAAATGCAGTAGACAACTGACGTTTTACCAAAACAGATAACACAAAAGTAACAAGAATGTTCACTCTCCGCCCCATTCTAGCTTTAAATATAGCACCGAGTCCCGCATATTGACGGAACGGCAACAAGGCTGTCACTTATCTACTGAATTTTTTTTAAATGCACTATTAAAATTACTTTCAAATCCAACTTCGACTTCCTAGGTCAGTAGTTTGTCCTACGATACAGTAAAACCATTTCCGGAAATCCGGAATCCAAAAGAGTAATTAATTAATATTTGGTGGTTTTAACAACTCATTGTAGCTATGTCTATACAAGTATCTATATACATGGAACACCTTTGTCCATGCATTGGTAATTACTAACAAGTCGAATATCGAAATCATTCGCAATTGCGTATCGGTAACACAGAATACAAGTTTTAACCGTATTTCCGGCTGGAATACCTCTACATTATACTGTGCAATGTGTAAGAAAACTCTCAGAACCAAAAGGTTGGCTTGAGAGGAAGGTATCTTAGAAAATCGATTATAATATCTTTTTTGAAAACGGATTAAAATGACATTTGCAGGGTTGCCGGTTTTTAATAAAATTTTAAACAGTTATGTAGTTGTCGTCGATAGTTTTATCGATAGATTGTGAAAGAAGATAAAATTTTGTTAAAAATTATTGAATTGTAAATGTTACGACATTCTAATGATTAGTAATTGCGTTATTGCCTTCTTTATTCTTATTTTGACAGTTCTGCCGTCCACTAAATAAAACGCAGCTAATGGTCAAATATCCGTTTCAAATAGAAAAAGATAGAGTACAAAATCTCTTTTAAAAACAGTTAAAATTAGTTAACGTCTTCGACTTATCGGAACTTACCCTAACGATGCATAGCTGAAATATCAAACAATTTAAATATTCTAAAACTGGGCGATGGTTTTTTATGACATCTCAAAAAAATATATTTTCTCACATAGACGCGTTTTAATTAACGGACGGCAGAGTTGAATGCTACTAGCGCGATAACTTTTTATTCATGTACATTTTAAAAAGAATAAACGGATTTGATTTATCTATACTGAATTAAAATGAAAAACTTTAAAATACGTATCCTCTTTGTATATTTCATAAAAATAGTTCTAAATACAGTGTATGTATGTATGAACTTATAAAAATTGACAATTCAAATGAACTTGTGCTTAGTAATTGGATGAATAATGGGTCGAGGATGGTTCAATTGAAACTAGTTCGGCGATTTATTTCATAAGCTTTACAAATAGTCACTCTATAGTCGATAGAATATTTATCGACTGCAAGCACTAGCTGCTCGCTAGCGGGCAACACATTTGCGCAAAAAAAAGACAGACTGTAGTAAATTGAAATGTTTGGAAAAAGGAAAGAAAATAAGTCACCTGAGAAGATTCACAAAGTTGTTTAAGACACGAGAAATCCAAACCGAATAGAGACAGCATGGTGGACATTGAACACAAACAGTAGGCAGGACAAGACAATGTCTAACAGTTATTGTAATATTCTTAGTTAAAACTATCGCTATTTATAACGAGTGTGACTCTTATTGTTACTAACATTAATGTTAAAGTTGCTTAAGTTTATTGATTGTACCATTTTTGTGGTAGATTTTCTTTTAAGAATTTTTTAGCAAATTCTACTATGAACAGTGTCGATTTGTAAACAATGTCATTGTCATTTTGTAATGTCACTACCGTAAAGGTAATAAATCTTTTTTGAAATTGCCGTACACTATTACTTTACTGTGCCTTCTTTGAGCGGTAGGCGACGTCGGCGTCACACGGCGGCTTATAGCAGCGATGCAAACGCGATGCAGTCACTAATCGTCTACCTTTACAAACGCGCACGACTTTAAGAAGCAATGAAAACGCGCGACTGTATCGATGCAATCGCGCGTTTGTATCGAAGCAATCGCGTGTTTGTATCAAAGCAATCGCCTATAAATCGCAAGTGTAACGATGCAATCGCGCTTTTCACGAACGAACAAATTAGACCTGTGTCGGTCCATCATTTTAACTCGGGTGTATCATGACCCATGCCTAATGTGATCGGGTCAAATGGTTCGATCATATGTACGATCATTTAACGGGTCACACGTCCCTCACGATACTTCCATAATAATATGCAGTTTAAAGGTGTCAAATTATACAATTAGTTTTTATTCTTTCCTGGTAATGTGTATAAAATTAAATGCATCATTGATAAACCACACTTAGGACACTTAGGGTCGTATTCTAGAACTCTATTCAATGCTCAAGTCAGGATTGCACTGGCAACACAAGCACTGGAAATACGACCCTAATGGCAGGGACTTGAGTATGATTTCTAGTGCTTTGAATCATACTCAAGTCCGGACTTAAGCATTGAGTAGAGTTCTAGAATACGACCCTCCAATTTATTTCCAGGAAAAGTAACATCTACAAAACAAAAATACATAACAAAAAACTTATGAGCATTCAAAATTACTAATTTATTATTCATTAATATTATATTTTAATATTAGCTAGTGCACTCATTAATAATCACAATATGGCAAAAAACAGATTAAACTTACAAAATTATATATTGACTATGTGCGTTATTATTAATTATTATTAATTACCATGTAATAAACACTAAGCCACGGAGCAATTAGGATGAATCATTGATCTGTTAACCCGTTGACCCGTCGACTCGTTGATCGATTGCTTAACTTTTTGGTTCGATCGAACGAATGTGTTCTAGAATACGACTCTTAGGGTCGTATTCTAGAACTCTACTCAATGCTCAAGTCAGGATTTGAGTATGGTTTAAAGCACTCAAAATCATACTCAAGTCCCTGCCATTAGGGTCGTATTTCCAGCGCTTGTGTTTCCAGTGCAATCCTGACTTGAGCATTGAGTAGAGTTCTAGAATATGACCCTTAGTGTATTATAATAAGACTTTCCGATGACTTGAAATATCACCCGAGTAATATTTTTGATGCGGCTATCAATTTTGCACTACAAAATAGCACTATAAGGCAATTTTCTAGGATTTTAGAGAATTTGCAAGAAAAATTGACACAACCATACCATACTAAGCGAAAGTGACAGACTGAGCTTAAGTAGGCCTTTTAAGACCTATAATTGGCACGCGGCAGACGCTAACAAACCTCTTCTACTGTATTTATTGTTCTGTGGTCACTAACACGGGTTTTTGTCATCCAAGTACACAGTAATCCAATTTACCTTGATCTGTCGAATCTCCCCGGTCTGGTCGATCTTCACGATGAGCACGCCAGACCGAAAGTCTGACGTCACCGTCGCGCTCTCCCATACTTTTTCCGGGTGTTCTACCCATACCCGGGCGTCCTGCAATGATAATTTCATTATGATAATATTACAATAATATACAAATTCCAAAAAAATCACAAATTGTAGTAGGTATGGTAGAGACATAGATGGGACCTAGGAGAAGAACATAGGCCACTTTTGTCACTAAAATAAATTCTAAAGGGGGTGAAATAATGGATGAACATTGTACGAAGAACCAATTATTTCTCAAACAAGAGACAAGAAATACTAAGAGTATATACTATCTCAGCTTGAATTCAAATGATTCTTGTACTAATACCATTGACTTACACTTATATGGACGTCGGGTCCGCGTTAAAAAGTGTCCGAACTTATAGGGCGTTAAAATCGTATACAGAGCGTCATTCACGCTTTAGTCTTCGTTTGTTCGACTGACAGCGAAGCAAGCAAAATTAGACAGTACTGCGATGACATTACAATTTAAATTCAACGTTTTAGCTTTTTCATATTCCTTTACATGTCACTACGTTTAAATAGGTTGACTTGGGACATTTTTTTCGTGGTTTTTGTATTAGACCCGTCGTCCATTTATTTGTAAGTCAATGACTAATACGGTTCATTTGCTTGAGTCGAGCGGTAAGGACTTTTAGGTAGAGGTTTTTTTACGAACGAAATTAAGCTATTTGAAAAATGTATCCTATACTATACGAGTTCTATTTAGTTCAGTTGATATGAAAAAAAAAATCATTGGTATATGTAGTGCCTATTGAGTACAGCGGTTTTCTTGTATAATATCGAGGTAAGTTTGTGTTTTTCTTCTATTGTCAAATGTGTGTATTTTTAGGAATCGTGTTTTCACACCGTGTATTAATAATTAATAATCAGTGTATATCCTTAATTTTTAACCGACTTCAAAAAAGGAGGAGGTTCTCAATTCGACTGTATGTTCTTTTTTTGTTTTTTTTTTATTTTTTTGTATGTATGTTACGCGATAACTCCGGTATTTGTGAACCGATTTTCATGATTCTTTTTTTGTTGGAAAGGGGGTATTTCCATAGAGACATTTTTATAAATAGCGCCTAACTTTAATTTAGGAGCAATTACTTTTAGCAATTATTTAGTTGATTTTGCAGAAACGCCTTGAATCCAATTCAAGGCGTTTTTCTCTCGAAATACTTTGAGTAGTGTCGTAGTGAGAACCTATTTTTATTATCTCCAGTATCAAGTCCTGTATAGTGGCGACTACTACTTTTGAGGTCGGTTTTTTTAGTATTCTGTACTGAGATTATATATTAATACAAAAATGGAACACAGAAAAATTCCTTCGATCTGACACCCCCGTTGTCCGACCGTACATCCATCCAAAACTTAGGATGGAAAAAAACAATTATTGTCATATAACTAATACTCGATTAAATCAAGACTTATTTGCATCATGCGTTCAATTTGGTCGAATATCACTTATTAACAAAACAATAAAATTACTATCGGACGTAAGAACGGACGTAGATTCCTAAATACGAACCACACTAGGAAGACAGCTCTACCAACTGTGCTACGGGTCAAGTCAGCATACCTCACGAAATTCTCTGTGCGTTTGTTACAGATTTTTCTGTGAGAAATCTATGATTTTTTTTCCACTCTACCAAGAACCTTTACAGCTACGAGACATTGACAAGAGATGTCGCTTTATAAATTGTAATATTGATTTTTATTGAATATCATAATATTTTACTATATTTATTTCTTTTTTGTGAATACAAAGATCGAAAACAAAGAAAAATTCCTTCGATCTTAACTGCCTCTGGTCGAATGGTTGGATGATCATATTGGCCTGCTATGCAGAGCATATTTGTATGGCCTACATTTATTTATCTCGTGAGTTTGGCTGTAATTTGTGGTTGTTTACGTGTGTGTCCGTGGCACCCGCGAGTCAGGGTTTCGCTAGGGCGGAGCTACGAGTGTGTGCGTTTTATTATTATTATTATCTAACAGGCCTCGAAGTTTTCCAAACTATGTGTAATGTATTGTTTATGAAAATATTTACTTATAATTTTTATTTTATTTACTTATTATTTATTTATAATTTTTATGAAAATTACCTTTACGTTCACAAAGAATTAACATTTTAGTATATCGACTGTGAACTGACAACCGGTACTATCTCAATTTTCTAAAGATTTCACTTTTTGAAATAAAAGAATCCCTAATAAATGTAATGACATGGCTTAAATTTAATAATTTATTACTAAATCTTGACAAAACGACAATTATGAATTTCAAGCAAAGGGGCAATAACTCTTTGACAAACAAATTAATTTATAACTCGCGTGTTATCGGTGAAACATGGGGAACCACATTCCTTGGACTTCATATTGATAGGAAAATGCAATGGGAGGAACAACTTCAAATAATATGTTACAAGCTATCGAAACAATCATACGCTCTCTTTAAATTGTCTAAGGTGGTAAACAAAAACGCTTTACTTGTAGTTTACCACAGCTATGTATCTACAACACTCAGATATGGTATCTTATTTTGGGATAATAGTAGCAACACAATACAAGTTTTTCGAGCTCAAAAGACGTGCATGAGGGCAATCTGTGGAGTGAAACAGACCGACAGTTGCAGAAACTATTTTCGAGAACTAAAAATCTTAACCTTGCCTTCATTGTATATCTATGAAACAGCCTTATTTATACGACGACACCCTCAACCTTTTCCTGTAGTTACAAGAGCAGGACGTCCTAACCAACTACGCCAAATAAATTGTAAAACGTCACTATTTGAGAAGAGTATAATTGCTATGACACCAAAAATCTATAATAAATTGCCATTACAGTTAAGGCAGAACGAAAATTTCGCGGAATTTAAACGCACATTATTTGAGTATTTAATTGAAAAATCATTTTATACATTAAAGGAATTTTGCTAACTAATTTCACATTAATTTATTATTTATTATTGAGACGAACGTGACTGTATGACATTGATTTATTTACATTGATTTATGTGGTCTGTAATTATTATCTTAATTAAATTACTTTTGTTTTGATGTCCTAACTGTTGTAGATATTAAGACTTGGTTTTTCATATCCTGTGAAGGTGGAACCTATAATCAGAGATTTATGACTATTAAATGATTATTATTTTATTATTGTATTTATTTTAAACTCTCGCCTCTCCCAAGGCCTAAAAGATTAACTTTGATTTTTTAAATGGGAGAGGCGGTATTTCCCGGCAATGGTACAGTCGGCCGGGGTCAGGGACTCAGGTCCAAGCATCGGCGAACAATACGTGCCGTATCGAGCAGGACCGCCTTCTGCATTTGTGCTGGAAGCGACACGCCACAGAAATCCAACCGCCTCAAGCTGTTAGAAAGGCTGACTGGAATTAACCCATTTGCGGACAAAACAATTGGGATTATTTCAGTGGAGGCCACATCCCACATGTCGGTGATCTCGTGCGCCAGGTCGAGATACTTCCGGCGTTTCTCGGTTTCAGCTTTTACGAGACCCTCGTCATGCGGGATGGTGACGTCCACAAGAAATGCCCTCGACTGCGATCAATCCAATATCACAATATCAGGCTTATTCCCAAGAATAGTCCTGTCCGTGATAATAGATCGATCCCAATAGATTTTGGTGCGGTCATCTTCGAGTATTGGCTCCGGTGAATAATAATAATAATAATAATAACGCACACACTCAACATAGCCCCGCACTAGGGAAACCCTGTGTCGCGGGTGCCATGGACACACACATAGACAACCACAAATTACACCCAAACTCACGAGAGAAATAAATGTAGGCCATACAAATATTTCCCCCGGCCCGGGAATCGAACCCGGGGACCTCTGCGTGGCAGTCCGGTATGGTAACCGTTCGGCCACGGAGGCAGTTACTTGTAATATGGCAACATAATATTTTATTATTATTATTATTTCGAAGTATTGGACAAGTATAATTAATAATAATACCTAGTATAAAAGCGCGGTGTATTAAAGGACACGTGTCCTTTAACATGCCGCGGTATTCCTAAGTTTGACGCGGCATCCTTAAGCCTGCCGAAGCATCTCGAAGGCTGCCGAATCATCCCGAAGACTGCCGAAGCATCCCGAAGCATCCCCAAGGCTGCCAAGGCATTCCGGAGGCGAGTCCCTAATCATGCCGAAGCTTTGTTTATGTAGCTACTGTTAAGATTATTTTAAGTTAAAACACCATATATGATTGAAAATCGTTTAATCTGTGCGCACCAGTGAGAACTTTGAATGCCTATTAATATCGGTTGCCATTGTGATGGCGGGAATAGTGCTGAGGCTCTAGAGACGTGTTCAACACTCCTCCTCAAATTAAAACTAAACATTAAGGCTGTGACGGTGTGACCTTCTTACACCGTCATCCTACCTTTTTATATCGCCTCTCTCCATTCGTATCATATCGTCTTTTCTTCTTCTACTCATATTTAAATTTAAAATTTTGAATTATTCCATTTTACCTCGCATTCTGATTTTGTTTCGTTCCATAATCACTCCCTGCCTGTTCGCGGTAGCGAACACATCTCACGTTAATTTTTTTGAACCATTTTACATAAACATTTAAAACATCACAAAAGAACATTAAAATAAGTGGAAATAAATCTGGTTTTATAAAAAATATAAAACCAGATTTATTTCCACTCACTAAGCAAGATCTGCGGTCTACAGAACATTCCAAGCGGTACCAGCAGTGGCACACGCTTTTACTAATGTGGATTGCAACCTACATTACAATCTACAGAATTCCACCAGCGCCTTTCAAGGCATTACCGCTCCTTTACAGCTACGACCTTTAACATTGAAATTTCAACTATAATACCCTAATTTCAAGGTATATTACCTTTCGTCAGCCAAAAATCCCATGCCGAGCCGTTCCATCAGTGGGCGCCAGGCTAAAGATTTTTTTATATTGTTGTTTTTTTTTCATTCCTTCCATAAAGGAAGAGGTTAAAGGTTTAAAACCATACAGACATATGTAGGCGAATTTGTCTTTTGTTAGTTTTAGATAGCATAA